TCTGTTGATTCTTTGCAATCTCGGCTGTTATATCCATGTTTATTTCCTACAAGTTTTGGTTTACGGTTCCTGGTAACATGCCCTTTAAAGTTATATTTGAAATATATCATCTTGTGATTTATGTCTAATTAACCTTTTGATTTATTTTGGACTTTTGTTAGGGGAGTTAATTTTTCTACACTAACCAATTCCAAGATTTCTGGATCATGTTTTTAGTTGATTATCTACAGCTTTCATTGCTTCCTTTACACATGTACATCAGTTTATTTTATTGAAATTTTGCACATCCTCTATAGCACTGGATAAGATATTTGGGTGAGCCTTACCACATCTTCAAGTCCAGCTTTCTTCATTTTCCTCTTAAACTTTGGTTTAGAAACACTTTTATTGTGACATGTGAAATACATTGGTAAGGCTATTACTAATGCCTGATGGCTAATGCTTTTAAGTCTGGTCCTCTTAAATGAGCTGCAAGATGAATAAGTTCACTATTACATCCATTGAGTTTGGATTTTGTTTCAAAATGTGCCTGTTCTGATATCTTAGGCTGTTGTTTTTCAATTTGGTAATGTTGCAGAAGTTCATAAAATGATGTGGTTTATTTGAGGAACGTCATATGTGACACAATAGTAATGGCACAGGTGAGTTCTCCTATTCCATAGATAATGACATTTTTGGTTGATATATTTGAGTGAAGAGGTGTGGTACTTGCATTTACCATTTCATTTTCCAGGCATTTTATTGTGAGGTTGATAGTATCTTGTACTTTTCCAGTTCTGTTATCATTCTGTATATTTCCTATGAATTACCCAATCTCATCTTCAATTTGTAATTGTTCCTAAAGTTTTGATCTCTTTTCTTTTCTATACAACATTTCATAATTTCCAATCTTGCTTTGGGCACATCATTTTGAAATTCAGTGCATTTTCTTTTTTTTACCAAAATAAACACACTGATGATAACAATGTTGTAATAGTTTCTGTTGTTGGGAACAATAAGTAGACAGGAAATTACTAATGTGGATGATTTGGTACTGTTTTATTTTTTTTGTACTGTATGTTTCAATCAGAAATTTAAGTTAAACTTATGTTATATGGACCAGTCATTTGCAACCTTTATATATAAAGTACTAATTCTAGTGCCTTTTCAAGACCTAGATCACTTGAGAAAAAAAAGGAGCTATTTAGTAGGACAAGTATGGCATTTACTTGCCAATGCTTAATATTAAACAACTCCTCCCCAGGATGTAATTAGTACTTCTACTAATAGATGTCATTTTACCTCCTACTTTGTTACAACGTATGTACAGACTTAAATATTCAGAATTAAATTATTTTTATACTTATACCATTACTTTGCAAATTCTTTGTGTCATGTTGAATAGGAAACATTATTCTAGAACACCATATTTTAGAAATGTTTAGTATTCTATTTGATTTCCTTGAACAGAATACATTTACATTGCATGTACTTCTGTCATCATAAGAAATGACAAAACTTGCCTCCAGTTTTGGATTTTTTTTTACAGATTTTAACTGGATGAAATTATATGACAGCTTTAACAAACACTGGCTGTATTTACATATGCAATTAAAAAATTGAATTTTTTTATTAGAAAAAAAAATACCGTTTCTGAATGAAACAGGAGCAGTAAAGTAAGACTTTTAACTAATTAGGTTTAATATGAAAATATAGCAATAAATGATATCTAATATCAAAGTCAGTTTGAAACTACATATAAAATTTTTATCATGGTCACAGTGACTTAAGGATTATCCAGTTTGTATTTCAAAAATCCTTTGTACTTTTTTTTTGTACCATCATATTCATAAATCTCCAATAACTGGAATAATGATAACTCAACTTATTTTGATAAATCTAATCACAGTAAGTAAAAATGTGTTTAATGTTTACTTCAAAATACCATGATGTGAATAGCACAACATAAACATTAAAAACTCCTGCTTCAAGCAAATAGCATATACAATCTCAATTGCAACTTACAGAAGCAAGTAAAATGGGAATGAAACTTTTATTTTTGATTTCATTGAATACCTTAAGGGACAGATAAAGCAAGGTTTTAAAGTCTCTGGAATGTATGTTGTTTTTAAACAATTGATGTTTTTTTCATCTAAATTATCATTTTCATGTGCTCGATTTCTTCGTAAAATAAAACTGATTCTGTGTTATGAAGGAGTCAGTGAGATTTATTTTAACAATTTAATAACAACAGAATGAAACTTTTGAAACCATATATTTTAATCTAAAATCTTTCTGGTTTCGTTCACTGCACTGATGAAAAGCAAAAATAGGAAGTTCTAAGGTGAATGTTTCATCTGAAAGAGTCGTACAAAATGTTTAAAATGAATACGACTTGATGATATTCGACAATAATAAATGGAGATGAAAATCCAATACAATAAGTAATACACACACACAAAAAATTTTTTTTTTAAATCGCACGTTTCTGTAGAAAATTAAAAGTATGTAGTCCATTTGCACACAATTATAACCAGTAGACTGTGCAATGTGAGCATCTGGGGTGTTCTTGGTGTCTTCTTACATGACATCCATAACCAATTTAAACACAGAAATGCGATGAGCTTGGATTTTCATTAGTCCATCTGGAACAAAAGAGTTCTTTTAATTTGAGCTGTCAAAAAGAAAATATATCATATTTTGCAAAAAATGCAGAATTTCGTCTAAGGAAAATATTTTAATGAGTTCTTCCTGAACAACAATGAAGCACAAACTAAAATATTTTGCACAGTAGAAAAACAGTTTGTGCTTCAATGTTGTTCTTCCTGAGTAGTAGTAATACTGCGCAAAATATTTTAGTAAAAGATAGATCGTCCTTACTCTACACATGGAATTTAAAGAGGTGTCTCAGGTCACCATACAAGCAACATTCACAAATTAAACAAGTAAATAAGATAACAGTTTTAGTTTTTAGTGTGGTAATTTTGGAAGTTTAAAGAAACATTACTGGTTCTGTAGTACTGGTGTAAAAATAAAAAGATTTTCTTAGGTTCAATCAAATACTGAATAATGCTCTATGAATATATTTTTTTAAGTGAGACTAAATATCCAAAAGGAATGGATTATATTTCATGAGATCTTAATTTAATACAGGATCTCTTCCTCAACCAGAGGTACCTTGGTGACAGGGATAAGACGTAAAAAATCAGGATTTATTTGATTTAAGTGAAACTTGTACTATATCCCAAATATGATATGACAAATACAATTTAATACTATCTGTTTTGCAACCAATATGTCTGACACATGAGCTTTCTTCTTCTTTGGCCATCATTGCATCCATTTTTCAGACTAGAGACTAACACATTTTCAGCAACTAGCTCCAAGCCATACTGAATGTGGCTGGAACTTTGCTACTATTTGGCACACTGTTGTTAATTACCATTATTTCCTCAGTTACCTGCATGGTTCCGAGATGAACCTGTGCAACTGCTGTGGAAGCACTCAAAAATAGATTTATTGCTGACAAAGGCAGTAGTGGTATTTCACCAGATTGAAATCAAGATCTCCAATCTCAAAAAGAAAATAAAGAAAGGTCACAAAATTTGGCCTGGGGGGTGGGGGAAAAACATAATTTGTATGTGTGATTGTTACTGATAAGGTGGTGCAGCCAATCAGAGACTCTGTTTTGACTGCACATAACTTCCATTGTATGGACTGCATATTTAGATACAGCAGATTCCAGAATTTCCAATCGTATATGCAGTATCTCCAAGAAACAGTAACCGGAAGTTAACATCTTCATTAATCTGGAAATGTATTTCTCATAGATATTCACCTTTTCACATAGAAATAATATCTTCCCCGTGCATCTGCCTATGATGTTTGCATGGATGTTACATTACCCTCCTATTGGTGGAGGGCTTTTGTTCAATGATGATGTCATCATGCACCATCATAGTTCATGTTAAACACATGAATTTAGGTGAGAGACACTCCAAGATTAGTGGCATGCAAATCTCATAAGTAGATACAAGGAAAATAGCATTTCTATATGTGGAGGTGAGTTATTGTCTGAGAATTTTTTTTTCCTGCCACCCCAAAACACTACCTCACCTCTGGGTGAGGGAAGAGATCCTATGTTAATGCAGTATTTCTTCACTTTGCTAATTTCATATCAAACATAACCTCCTGACTTACATTCTGCTATAAATGATACATTTCATTAAACTGATTTCATTTTTAGATTAATTAAAAGTCCTTTAAAATTTACACTCAAAATATATGATTTCTATGTAATGAAAGGTTATTGGATATAACTTCAAAACCAAAATTGTGCAAGAAACAGCATTTATCTATAATGGTCTACATCTGTGGTGGTCATTTGTTCCCTACTAGACCCAAATCAACTATACTGGACTTGCAAAATCCAAAAGCTTGCCATTTTTATGCAGTAATAAAAAATTAGTGTTTACAATGCTGATTAATTTTTCTACTATTTGTTCGTAGACCACAACTACTCTATTTAAATATGTTTTTAATGTTAAGCCACCAATAAAAGGGTTCAAATTTTTATCTTCTGTCTAACATTTAATAATAGTAATAACATATATTTAGAAATAAGTCTTTAGTGATTTAGTAAGTTTGCTTTTAATCTTGCATGTTTTTCAAACAGTATGTTGTAAATTCTGATTTTCCTGAAAATTATCAAAAGTGAAAAAAAGATACATTTACTACTCATTCCATCATATCAATAAAATATGATTATTAGTCTGTCACTTACAATAGTTTTTAAACTGTAAAAGAAAAAATTTTTTTCTGTTGTTTAACAACATTAATTTGTGAATATTTAGCTATAAAAACCTACAATCACCTCAGACAACTGTGTTTTGGATTACTAATGCCATTAGTTGATGTTTTTAATTTCATCTATATAATAAGATTCAGTGTGTGTGTGTGTGTGTGTGTGTGTGTGTGTATCTGTCATGTAACTCCTCCTAAACCACTGGTCGAACATACTTATAAGTGGTACCAAATGAATCGTCTTGTTCCCGAGGTTTGCACAAAGGTAAAATTTTTCACACCACCCCCTAGGCAAATCCAGGGATTTTCTGAAATCCTCCAATTCCCTTAAACTGCTGGACTCACCAACTTTTAAATGGTGCCAAACAAACTGTCTTGGCCCCTAGGTTTTCACAAAAGTAAAACTTTTCACCCATCCCCTTTGGGAACCAACATATTTCACAAAAAAGTTTACAAGGATTTACTGAAAGCGAACCCCAAATTTGGAATTGATTTACATTAGAGCACATAAATAAGTAGGCCAACCATTAGTAAAGCAATTAGATTTGCATTATAGCGGCAATGATCATTAAACTGAAAAAGTGCAAAATAGTAGTTCTAGAATTAAATTTGCATTATAACAGCCCTGTAAACATGGGTCATAGGCCCACTGTTCACTAGTTTCTATAAATATTGCTCTACCCACTCACTCACATGAACTTCTAAAGAAAATTGGGATGACAAAGAAAAATCAAATTATACATACATAGCTGCATATAACTTATTAACAGTAATCGTTTTTTACACTAACAACATGGACTTTACGAACCAACCTATCTTTCTACAATAATGCACATTTATCTGAACTACTCCTAACATGGTTGTCAGTGTTCATGAATGCTTAACCACCAATAGTTTTCAAATGCTTGTTGCCTCCAATTTCTTATCAAAATGTTTATTACAGACAGTGAAAACATAATTACCTTATTTACATATGCATCCAATTCTGCATCTAATTCCTCTGCAGTGGGAACTTTTCGATTCTGGCCTCCACCACGACCTCTGCCTCGACCTCTTGACCTTCAAAATAAATTTTAGATTACTCTGCAACTATTTGTCTGTGGCTATTATAAAAATATGCATGCTCACCTACAGAAATATCAATTCGATTTATTCTTAAATTAAGAAATTGTTTAGATATCTTTCTATGCATATATATACACACACATGTACGTTTAAAAACTGTTATGATTAAAACAGAAAATAACAAATAAGCACACATTCATATTCTTTCATGGAATACATAAAAAATTATAAACTTTACTTATCTCTTCTACTATATAGTATAATAAATGAATACAAAAAACTTTTAGACTTTAGACATTGTCTCTACTCAGTTTGTTGTACAGGATTGGCTTTATTTATTCACAAATTACTTCTTATTAAATATTTTATGTTGTTAAGCTCAAAGTTACATCATGACCTTGAAAGAAAAAAAACTAGAATGCAAGACTATAATGATAAAGTAAATAAGTGTGTGTGTGTGGTTTAGCTTTCCAGTTCCATAAAGTAATTTTAGCATTTTCATTTTACAAAGGACACAAAACTTAAAACAATTTAGCTTGAATAAGGTTAAAAACATGTAACTTCTTAATTTCATGGTTTTTAAGAATTTTTACAGCCAGCTCTAATAAGCGGATAAAAAATTTAATCTCAAAAAATCTTTTCAAAATCCTGCCAATGAATTAAATGAAAAGTTAAAAGATTTTAAATACCATTCTTGCAAACAGAAAATTCTGATACTCTTTACCTCCAGCTAATATTTCTAAACCAATAGTACGATGTTTCCTAGAGAAAATAAATATTTACCTTTTTTAAATTTAGCCACTAAGCAATGTAAGAGGGAAAGATGCTTATTCTACACACACTTAGGATCAATAATGTACCTCATAAATCTCCCACGTCCACCACCACCACCACCTCGGGCACCTCCTCCACCACTAATTCCACTGCCTATTCTACCAACATTTCCTCCTTGTGTAAGTGATGTGACAATCTGAATATTCATTGGACGGCCTAAAATATACAAATTCAGTGGTACACTAGTATTTAAAACTATCCGTTCAGGACAGGAATAACAATCATATTGCATTTGTAATGTCCAATTAACAGATCAAACCAATCTGTAGCTCTTTTTTTTTTGAAGATAATACAATTTGCTATTAGTAATGAGACTTCATTAAATCATGTTGTAATTCATCTACTTGAAATCAGTTTTATACAACCCGACTGTTCATATAATATATATATAAATTTTAAAAAGATTACAGGCTTTAAGAAAACATTTAAATTTTTACTGGGGTCAAAAGAAAAAAAACCCGTGAAACCAAATGATTTAACCCAAATAACTTGCATGATGACCAAAACAAAAATTTCTACTAGTTTTATAATTACCTTTTTTTTTAAACTTTACTTCAGAATTTTTTCACAAAGCTGCTCTTTCAAACAATTTTCACAGTTTTTCATTAGATTACCAATAATATGGGAGTGGATTAAGTTGTTGAAAAATTCACTAAAAAAAGAAGACTTGATATACAATGTTTCAGGCTGCTGCCCTTCTTCAGGTGAAGTTGGTAATTAACTGAAGAAGGGCCTAGAACAGCATCTCTCAAACTGGAGTCTTCAGACCTCTGGGAGTCCTTAAGTCATGCCCAAAATTTCATAAATATGTTTAAAAAAATAAACTTTACAGCATGAAAAGTATTTCTGTTAATATTGGAATACAACTTTTCACATACACAGAATCGTTTCTTTCAAAACAAAAAAAGTGATAAGTTTTGGGGTCTGAAAAATAATTTCCAATTAAAAGGGATTCTACAATACTAAAGTTAGAGAACCTCTAGTCAAGCACAAAAAGTAGTATATCAACTTGATGGATATAAGAATTTTTATTTTTCCTAGTTTTTTTATATTTAACCTAGATGTTATTATCTTCAACATATGTATTATTCATTTTTCATCTATCACTGATATTGTGTGGCATCAAATGAATGAATTTTTAAGTAAAACTGAAGATATCAATAAAAATCTGAAGTCATATGTAATCAATAATAGTTGTTTATATATAAGGATTATTAGAAGAAAGTTTCCTGAACATACCAAATTAAGAGTTTTCAACAGAACAACTCTTACTAAAAAAAAAAAATTTAACTTCTTGTAAAAGTATGAAACCTTCACTATGTGGGGCCCAGATACATTTTGGATAATCTAAGCATGTCTACTCTTGACAAGTAGGCTTTTATCATTAATATCTTAAGTGTACTTTATTTTTATAAATTATTCCATAACTATAAAGTTATACTTACCATCTAGTGGTACACCATTGTACTGTTTCATGGCCTTTATTGCATCAGCACGCCGCTCAAAAACAACATCTGCTGTACCTAATGAGCGACCAGATCTGTCATAATGAACTGCGGCCTTTCTTAGGGGCCCAAATTCTGCAAACAGTTCCTGAAAAACAAGTTCTATATCTTACACTTTATATGATAATAGTTTTCACATATACACCTACATTTAGTTACATTTTAAACAAAAGCACAGCACATTGGGCACTATGTGTGTAAATTCAGAATACTCTCCGGTTCTACAACTAGCCTTTTTTCTAGCTGGAACTCTATTTTTAACACTTCATACGTAATTTTGATTTCAATCATTACAAAATTGTTTTGGAATTAAAACTATAGTACCATATTTACCAATATTTTCCATTCATAAATTTAGAATTAATGTCAGTTAACATACTTGCTTTGTAAAGTGTTAGTATGAGCTTACATTCTCTTCCAAAACTTATATTAAAATGTTTTAAGCAGATCCTTGCTTATCTGATCATCTGATGAGTGAATGGATGTTTCATTTTAGATAAAGGCTGGTGCATAATATGGCAGTTATGTGAGAAATAGATAAGGTTCTTGTTGCCGCTCAATTCAGATAAAAATATGGGTATTCAGATTACACAACTAATGTAGTATATGAATGACAAAAAATATAATGGATAATTCTGAAAAAGGCCCATAGTTTAAAAAAGGGAATATTTATAGAGTACGGTCACACGGTATAGTACTATCCATTAGCCTATATTAATTCATTCTAGTCATTTTCAATATAATGTGTTTCAATGTTCAGTTGATACACATGTACCCTGTTTATTAATAACCTTTGCCATTTTAACTATTTTAATTTATTGTGAATTAACATTTCATAATGAAAACACATAAAAAAGCCTACAAATTATGTTTTAACAATACTTTCTAGTTTTAGTTTTATGTAACTCATTAATGACATTTTGCTTCAGTAAAGCTATAAAAGAAATTAGAAAAAAAAAGCTTAGAATAAAGATGAAAGTTTGAAAATCATAAAATGTATTACAACTGAATGAAAAGTTTAAACTGCAGGGTTACCTTTATATCAGCATCAGACACACCAAAATCTAAGTTAGATACCAGTAACTTAGAAGGCCCAGTAGTTAATCCTCTTGCTCCTCCTCCAACCCCACCATCAAACAAATCATGCTGCCATTTATCAGGTAGCTGTTTAGGCTGCAATGAAAATGTAGACAGACTTGTTCATTTCACAACTGAAGACCACTTGAAAAATAAAAATCATGTAAAATCAGATTCATCTAAAAAAAGATGTGTGAGAAAACGTTCTCTTACAAGGCCCATGGAATATTTGACACACTTGATGGCCACACAGACTAAAGAAAAATAAAAACTATGATAATTTTACATATAGAACTGTAAAGGATCATAATTCTAGCACTGCATATTGCACGTAGTTGTAACACTTGGCAAAAGGCAGGTTAACTTAGGTTAAGATAACATCAATGACAAATCCAACATATGATTGTCTATACTCTTAACAGCACTTGTTGAATTGAACCACAAGCTTTCAAGTATATTAACTAAGGGCAAGATATAATTTTCCAGCTTCCCATTCGCTTATTAATTTAAAAGTTATAGCATGAAAACTATAACAAGCACAAAATGGTTACGAGGTCAGTCACAGGGACCGAGCCTGTGCTGAAAGAGTTAAGGGAAACAAGGTGAATTCACCCAATATAATCTATATAAATAAAATGAGTTTTGTCTGTACATTGCTTAGAATAGTGTACTTTTTGCATATCTTCACGTTTCATATA